CTGCTCTGCTTTTCTGTCTATTAGTATTATAAGACATTACAAGTTCAGTTCAATAACCACCTACCTAACAGCGTTTTACGCGTACAAGAGATAGTTTAAAAGTTCCTTACAGTCAATGTGTACGAATGCGTAACTTTACCTGAAAGTGTGACTAGTAAGTATGGCCCTGGAAAAGATAAATTCATATAAGTAAACGGGACATATCGCAGCGCGTATCACCCTCCACCCGAGCTGGCGTACGGCGACGACGATAAATCACGCGAGATTCATGGCTAAGTTGCCATGCGTGTAAACACAGATCATGCTCCGCAAACGAAAATTACCAACGTCGGAATTTCCCAGCTCACCAACATTCAACACCAAACAAAATTATCGCTTACCTACCTTTTATGGACGGTTGTGAGGACAAAAGTAATTAACCTGTATAGGTACGTGTAACACTAAGCACCTTTCCAGAAAAGGCATTAACAGTTCATATCGCAACGCGGCAACAAAGCGCCGTGTGTTAAGCCTGAAAGTGGCATTAAAGAAAATAATTAAAAACCTTGTTAGTCTTAGCATAGAGCAATAAAGGAACCCAGCAAAGGAGTGCCGGAACAAAATAAAGCAAGAAACAGCGCGCCGAGCGACGGCGTCGACTGAAACCTGTATAAATGCAGCACATTTCTAGGCGTCTACCTCTTTATTGCCTGCTAACCGTGCAAGACAAAAGAACTAGCACTGCGCCTCATCATTATGAATAAAAGCACATCTCTGCCTTCGTATCGACTGGCAAGAATTAAAATTCATAGAAGCTACTGTAGCCAGCCGCATACGAAACGAAAACATTTTCGCTTTTTAAGCGCGATAAGAAAAGCCGTAAAGAAATATTTGGGCCCAAATCGGGTCGGGTAAACAGTTTTATAGCCAAACAAACTTTGCACAGGCTCGCCTCGCGCGCTGGTCAAAGTGCTAAAAAGCGGCACCCGGCATTTGATTTGTAGTACATTGCTGATAATAATACTAAAGAAAATATCGACGTCACGTTAAACACGGATCCACTAAAGCAACAAGTATTTTTTCTGGTTATTTTGCTTATAATAGGGTACCTTTACTTCATGTAACTTATTCTATCATTAGGTACTCGTACTCCTAGTAGAGTTAACTGCTACTTTACTTCTTCCGCATATTGCAAACACATTACTATGATAAAATATACTTTATGGAAACGCATGTAGCGGGAGTGGAGATGAAAACAGTGTTGTCGGGATTGCCGTCGAGACGTGCCATGAACGAACACAATTTGAAATGGCGTCACGCGGTCTAGCAAGATGGCGGCACGCCCGAAGCTCGAAATTGTTCCAACATTATTTACAGACCCTCGTTTCCCACTTTCCACCGACCTTCAGCGGCGAGAATAATTTCAACATCTGTTTGGGCAGTAAAGTTTCGTTCGCTTTAACCTTTTTTTCTTTTATTTAATTAAAACTCTGGATCTGATGAGAGGCTTAAAGTGGAAATTTAACAGTTTTCTGGGTGACTCCTTTTGTGGATGACGGCATAGTAACATAAAACCATTAATAAGCCTCTTACCCTATCCGTCTAAGTCAACATCGGTGTTCACGGAGATGCGGCGGCGGGTAGAGGCTGGGGGGACTCGGGGCGCGTTGCCATGGCGACGGTCGGGGGCGCAGACCCGAATTTTATCGATTCGGGTACAGACAGCAGCCCGCCGAGCTTTCGCCAGTAGTAACACGACTCAACGCCTGTGTTTGCGGATCTGGTAGGTTTAAAAGGGCTTTGACAGTAGGAAACACGCCAGTTAAATAAGTGGCTGTACCTGAGACGTGAGCGTGGCAAATTGCTTTATACGCTCTATTTAAATAACGGAATCCACATTAGGACGCTTTGATCGTAAAATACTTACATAACAAACACCGAGTTGCTGGGATACCATTTTAGTATTCGTTATATAAAATAGATTTTACTTTAAATGTACATAACTCTCTCTGAATCTTTTATGTTAATGCTACATTTGAATGGGCTGGTTCCGGATAAAATGTAATAATAACATACTAGTTATATATTTAAAAAAAAACTAATTGGTTGACAACAGTTATTTGTAAAACTTATACTTTTCCTAGAATCATTGTAAAATTTTCCTCAAGTGAGCATCATCAAGGAATATCTGGCTGAATCTCAACATTTCTTATGGATTTACTTTCACCCCACAGTGTATGAAATAAAAAAAAAAGTACCTAAAAAGGCATTGCCGAATTTCTTTACAACCACAAGGTAGGGGATGGATTTTTCCATCGCATCAACTACTTTGATAACTGGACTCAACATTAGGTGGGTTGGGATAATTATCTGCAACTTACATGATAAAAACCGCCCAGTGCAATACGGAAACCCCACAAAGGAATCCGAACGCATCATCTTACTATGCTAATAACAATTGCAATATGGCCACTAGAATATGCAAAGCCACCGAAAAATAAGACTCAAATATACACAAAAAACGGCCAAGTGCGAGACGGAATAGAGCACGAAGGGTTCCGTACCATTATTCATACAACATTAGCAAAAACCGGAAAACGATCACGGCTGTTGTATGGTATTATTTATTTTTAAAGTAAATATACAACTAAATGTTCGGTGAATATTTCAAGCGGCTAACTGTAGCAGTTATTAATATAGAGCTATAAACCGGCAAAAAACACGTTCTTGTATGGGAACCCCGTATATATTAAATTTATTCTATATTAAAATTTAGTATTTGTTGCTATAGCGGCAACAAAAACACATCATCTGTAAAAATTTCAACTGTCTAGCAATCACGGTTCGTGAGATACAGCTTGGTAACAGACAGACGGACAGGCGGACAGCTGAGTCTTAGTAATGGGGTCCCGTTTGATGACAAACACTATGACATGAAATAACAGGTGCGATCAGATTGTGTAAAGAGGCCGTTTTGTGGATATATATTTGCTGTTGTTCGCCGAAGACCTTTAAAACGAACGTCACCTATTGTGCGGAATGTAGGTATTAGGTAAGTATTTTTCATATGAGTTTATGACTTCTTCGTAACTAACTGGCCTCGTCATTCTCGGGATTCAGAGAACCTCAGATTGACATCTGCGCTGAACGCCTCATCCATTAAGCTATCTCCGGGATATACGCGTGCCCGTCCATTTATTGTCACTTCTTAACACCTGCCGTGCCGTGCCGCGAGCCGTGCTCGTCAAATACAAATCTTGTTATTCATCATTACTATTCGACTAAAACTATAGGATTTTTGTGACCTTTTCCGTTTTACACAGAGGTTTCGCGAATGTCCCGTAGTGAGACAGTCATAAGAGACCAAAATAAATGAACAACCTAAACATGATGTTCGATTATCTAGACAATGATACACCCCACTCGACATTATTTAGTCAACTTTTTTTTTTACTTTATCACAATATGGCGCCTGATTGTCCCCATATTGAATTTTGATTACTATCATATCTTTAGTAGCACTCCCATGATTAAGACGAATCGATTGACGTATGAATCATCAAAATCGGTGGACCGATTTTGATGATTTTTGACGACGTTTGGTCTCTAGTGTGCCACAAAGGAACATACATATATAGTCTGTTAAACACTATACCCTGTCTGCGCGTCGCGCTTCGCGCTCTTGCATTGCGTAGTCGGGTAAAAAGAAAGCTAGAATTATGACAAGTGGTATCTAAAACAAAACGCATACCTATCTTTATATATATAATTCTTCTGTGAGTGTGTATGTCACTGAACTTCTCTTAAACGACTGGACCGATTTTGATGAAATTTTTTGTGTGTGTTCAAGGGGATCTGAGAATGATTTAGATTCACAATTTTGTCCGCTGGACAATGTTTTTTTAATTAAATTTTTTTATGGCGGTGCGTAGTTCGCTGGGTCAGCTAGTATACTTATAAATCAAGACAACTTTGTACCCACTAATTCGCCAAAATAAAATCAGTGATGATAAAACAAGTAATGATACCACCGCACAGATACGAGACCCTATCGCGAATAGAACTCGGAATCATAAGTGATGTAGGATGTCTACCAACACTATGGCAAATCCGGCATGCTCCCCTCTCATATATACTTTATAACAAATTATAGTTCAAACTTAGGAAAGCTTGTAACTCAATAAAGTCAACACGTACCTATACAAAACAGCTAAAGCAAATTTTACTAAAAAAAATAATGCAAAAATAATAAGTTTTTGACAATTTGGGTTTTTGGAATTCATGCTATAATATCTTTCATTCTATATTCAGCTCGGTGAAGGTCGATTTGGGTTCGGATCTTCTACCAAACCTGCATAATGAGTCGTACTCCACCCCAAAACTCGACGAAAATAAGAGCAGTAGTTGTTATTCACAGATGAAACTTCTCCAAGCGTTTTTAGAGTAGGGTAAAAAACATTTCGGGTCGTAAAGGATTCCCGACCTATTGCACCCTAGCGTAGCTCGGTCCCCTTCCCATATTTTTAGTGACGTATATTTCTACTGTCAGAAACAGTCGAAACAATGACACATTTTTGGTGGTATCAAATAAGCATGACCGTAACTAAATACAATGACGCTATGTATTCACTATAAAAAATATATTGTAGCAAGAATCTCATTTAAGCACATTATGATTGATTAGAGGCTTTAACGCTAATTCGTAATGTCTTTTATTTTAAACTTTATCGTTACTTTACGTGCGTTTAATGAATCTATAAACCAGAAGCTGATTAATAAAAAATATCATCCTCATTTGACAACATTATCGATTATGATGAAACACATATCTTAATTATAGTTTGTAAAAAAACCAGTTTAAAACTGAAACACACCGTTTAAATCCCGACAGCCACCGTTTTAAACGGTGTAATACCCGACTGCGGAGACAAAAGAGAGTTATGTATTTAGAATGGTAAAGGCATAAACTGGGGCCTACTCCATAAAAGAGTGGTAAATACGTCTGTTTTTACTACAGTAATTTACAATGGTAGTTTATTGTGGTTGAATTGTGTTTCATAATAGTAGATTGTTAACCGAGGGTGGAAAGAATCAATTCCCGAGGTATTAGGCTATAGTCCGAGTAGGAATTGATTCTTTTACCCGAGTTAAACACTGTACTTTTCATTTCGAATATGAGGAAAATAAAACTAGTTGTTTAACAAAAATATTTATTCATAAATAGTTATATATATACCATAAAATTAGAAGTAGCTATTTAAAATTAATTATCATATTAGGACAATTACTGAAATTAAAAGTAACATTCTTGTTTGAAACTATGCTGTTTGATATACTATTACAAATTTGGCTGTTTTGGATATCTGTAAAAGTAGGACACTCTGTTATTTCATCAAACGATGGATTTCCATGGCGGATACTCCCTGGAAGTTGTCTGCTGAGGCGAAATGTAGGAGCCTGTAGTTTGCTAGACAGTCCATTAAAATATGTAAGAAATACACTTTCGGAAAACGATTTTATATTCTTCTCTGCTCACCACTTTATAAAATCATTGTATGTATTTATATATCTCTTTTTTAACATTTCTGGCAAAATATTCTCTATAACACAATTTGCCTCGTCTTTAATTGAATCCGGTGTCAACATTTCTGAATCGCTTGAACTCATTTTTAATATTCAAAGTTGGATTGCTCTGTTTTACTTAAAAGATTATTATTACTATTTTTTTATTCCATCACATAACAGATGCATAACAGTTTAGTATCCCGCCAATTTATGTCGACTTTTTAAATTTAAATATGGAACAGCGTAATTGTTGCGGCTTATTCCGCTCAAAGAAGTTTGTGCTAAGTTCACACTGGCTGTTTAGAAACTCACATGGCGGCAGCATTTTTTTTTACAAAAAACTTCACGCCTGACAGTAGTTCTATTTTTAAAGTTCATTCCGGCCCTTAGGCGGGAAGTAATTTGTATGAGCTTTTCCCTCTCTAGAGAGGGAAGCAGCATTTTCCACCCAACAAACAGATCAAAACAACACCACTTTCCGAGAATGAGAAATGAAAAGATATTTTTTTACTACAGTATTTTGGATGGGTGACCAAAAACTTGTCTTGAGCTCCTCCGTGCTTCGGAAGGCTTCATCTGCAGTCGTTAGCACCAACAAATCCGCACTAGGCCCGCGTGGTGGTTCAAGGCCCAATCTCCCTATTAAATCCATAGGGAAGGCCTGTGCCACTACAGTGGGAACATTAATAGGCTGGTAATGATGATGATGTGATGATGTAATAATCACTATTATTTTTATTGTTTTTTTTTTACATTTTGCGTTTTGAGCGCTAATTCTTAAGTGAAAAGCAAAGCAATGTTCGAGTCTCTCCTGGGGTCGGCATTTTTTTCATTGCTTCACTTATAATAATTATTAGTAAAAAATCTAAGAAATATGAAAAAAACACAGTTTGGTACTCCGTTGCATGGCGAATTCGATAATGAGCCTTAGTTTATATAAAAAAAACACTGTTCTAACCATTAAAACCCTAAAACTCCGTTTTAAACCAAAATTTTAAACGGCATGGTTTTTATTCGTTTTAAACCGACCTTACAACTATAATCTCAATACACTCGCATAAACTGGAAAGGATGACAAAAGCAAAAGGACTTCCCGTTTCCACCTGGGCGAATGTGTATTCCTGAGAATCAAAGGCAATCGAGCCCAGAGAGCAAACAGCTTTTCCAACGGACTTCTGGAGACGGCATTGATACTCAAAAAACGTAACGCAGGGTCCGAGTAACACAGTATCCTTGAAGATGTCTTTTGCAAAGGGCACGAGGGGACAAAGGGCCCGCAACATTCTCATTGAAGCGTGGATGGGCGGACCACCCCACGACTGCCTCACCGGAGTCTGTATCAAGCGGCGGTGTCTATAATTTATGCTCCGAGCGGACCACGAAAAATAAATGGGAACCAGTCACAAGAGGAAATGGAAATGTAACTTACCTCGGTGCATGCCAATCCATGTTCGGAAGGAAATAACGATCCGAGTGTTGATGTTTGCGAGCGCCGCCGCCGCCGAACCGTGCCGATAATAAGTGCACTGACAAAAGGAGTTCTTTTTTATAGAATATACCTTTTTTATTATGAGAAACAACAATATCCTAAGCTAAGCCAATAGTATCAAATGGCTCCATGAGAATTATGTCAGCAGAGAAAGGTAAAAGGGCTATTAAATCGAAAATCTAAAGCTACAAAACTTAATCATACCTATAAAATTTTTACTAGTCGATTGGAAAATGGGGAGAAACAGTTAAGTTAAATAACAAAAATAGAAACAAAATTAAGCTTTAGACAAGTATTAGAAGAAAAAAGTACACCTAAACTTAAACCGATGAAAGCAAATCGGAAGAAGCACAAACTGCAATTTCAAGATTTCCCAACGAATTATCCGGGAACAAGAGTTAAGTTTGTTGCCTATCGTCGGGATCTAACATAAATCCATTGACAGATCCCACTACTATCATTAATCTATTGGCTGTCTTACTTTCTTCACTCGCCAGTTTTGCTAGAGCTTCCGGGGCTCATTCATTGCAATAATCCCGACTACGAGTAACAAGCAGAATCGTTAAGATAGAAGCTTTTTCGTGACGAATGCGTAAACATTTTTGGTCATAGTTATATTTTTATTTGTAAAGCATTTAACGAAACGGATTTTTTTCTAGTAAAATTTTCTTGAGATTTACACATCTAGTAGTTAAATGCCTAAAAAATATAAATATAATTGCCATTTCTTCTTTCAAATGTTTAAACTAAATATATAAATGTTTACTTGTAAAGGTATTCATTTGACATTGTGGGTTACCTACAATGAGAAGAGATGGCGCTGTCTTGCAGCATAAGAAATGCTAGAGAAAATTCGACACAGCCATTTTTCCGCGTGGAATTTTTACTAGTAAAATTTTCTATTTACGGTAATTCTTAAAATTTAATCTCTTATAACAACATGGATAAGAAGCCCAAGCACGAATTTTACAGCTCTGTAATAGAATCGCATCGTCTGTTCGTCTTTCGAACGTAAGAACTAGCTTTCAAAAATTTGACGATACGATTACAAAGTTTTCGGAATTCGTGCTTGCGCCTCTGATAATGTGAATATTATTTGTCGAGAACAGTAGTGCGAGTAAATAGGGACATACTGACAAAGCAAATAATGTAGGTAAGCTTTAAACGCTATATAGGTAAGACTTCGATGGAGGGGTATGTTTGGGAACAACACCCGCAGTTACTCCGTGATCATGGCGCTTATAAAAGTGGCAAAACATCCGAGTCTCCGAAAAACAATGTAGAAGCTGTATCCCGTAAATTAACTCTAATATTTCACCAATATTCCAAACGAACCTCCTTCTGTAATTAATGAGCGAAAAAGCAAAGGTAGCGTACATAAAAATTTTTGAACGCACCACAAATCCTACAACAAATCTGACAGAAGCTCTGTTACACATATGTATGGCGACCCGTAATGCGTATGAAAGATGTTTTAATATGTGTAAAACCGCCTAGTCACGGCCCTAAAGTCCCCAGCCCCGCTGCTGGCGTTTTTTTAAAGAAGTAATTAATGGGGCCCGGAGCGCCACTTCAGGTTATTTTGATTCGTTGTTTTCTGGCGGGGGGTCGACAAGGCCGGATAATTTAATCAATTTCACGAGAATTAAGGGGCGCCCCAATATTTTCTCAGGGCTAGGTTAAAACAGTTTTGTGAAAAAATAGATTCTGCTTTATGTATGTAGATATAAGCGAACATAGTGCTCTGTGAGGCGAAGAAATTATTTGTCTACTACTTTTAGGTGATAGTCGCTAGAACTTGATCTCTATAAAAGAAGAACGATGTATCAACTATTCAACTCATCTATGACTTATCACCTATAAATGTAATTAATTTATCAATTCACACACTCGATAATCTTCAAATGGCTTCCCAGGTAGCGCGTCGCAGCCTGAAATTTTGGAGGGGTCACTCACAACACTAATAAAAAATAGGTATCTGGAATAAAATAATCATTATTGCACAAGACACAATTTTATTTTATACATTACTTATAAAACAAATGGAAGTCGTCCTTTTGTATTTGCGAATTGGGTGATAATATTTGAGACGTCTGGTACTATTTCCGGGTGAATGTTTAGAAGAGCTAAACCTGTTAATCGCTCTTCTAACATGTTAGCTCTCAACCAACTTTTTAACTTAGTAGACAGCCTTTATCTTGAATATTTACAATAAACCGACAAATTACATTATTAGACTATAGTAACACAATCTTTATCATAACGACGCATATCGTTTTTGCTAGGATTACCAAAACTACGTAGTTCGGATCCTTGTTTCTAAACTAGTACTGTTGATGTTATTTTCAAGTTATTTTGGCCATCGTACGTAGTTCATAAAAACACCACTATATGTCAGCAAACTATAAATTTATCGCTGTCAGGAGATAGCTAGAGAGATAGAGATAGTAATAATACACTACGTTTTATATAACGTACATAATTCTTAAATATTGTACATTTAATACCTCAATACTTACTGGCCCCCGAATTTAATAAGATTATGTTCAATTACCAATTTTCCACAAATAAATAATTCTGATCCTATGTCCTTTCCCGGAATTCAAACTATCTCCCTCTGCACCAAAATTCATCTAATTAGGTTTAGGTTGTTTAGATAGCGGTTTAAGCGTGAAGAGGTTTCAGACAGACATTTTGCATTTATAATACTAGTATAGATAGAAGTAAAATGCTTTGATAAAATTAAATGACACACTAATTGTTGAAAATAAAATTGATTTTTATTAAGAATTATAGGTACAAAACGGTGGGTAATTAAGGTTAACATGATTATTTAATTTAACTTAATTGCTTTTAATTTTTCCCTCAATGCACAATTTAATTCATTATCATAGAAATATTATTATGCAGACTAAAGCAACAAATTTCAACCTTATTCATAAATATTGATAAGTTTTAATAAGCATTCACTTAATATATTATACAGGTACAATTAAATGGAGTGGTGTTAACAAATCAAGTTCGTTGACCGCCAGTTTCATTTTTCATACATAATAATAAAAAGAACATAATTAATAAATTTTATATTAATTTAACATGAATATTATAAAAACAATTGAATTAAGTGTCATTTAATAAAATGTATTTATTTTGTTGAATAAATAATTCATGTAAAAGACACACGCAAAAGTCCGACACAAGCTGTTTTTTAATCGATCACCACAAACAGTCAAACATATTATGCAGGCACTTCACTTGGCTATTCGTGTTTGCTATTTGAAAACTTGAATTCAGTCCTTTTCGTTCCTTGTAGTGAAGAGCATAGTAAGGACATGCTGATGCCAAGTTTCCATATAGCAAACATGAATTGCCAATTAAAGGGCCGGCATAAGCAGACACTATATTCTGTTTCAAACGAATTTAGACCTAAAGTAAACAAACAGGTAGGTAAGTCTGACCATAGACAGTTTAGTGTTGGGCATTCATAGAGCCTTATCAAAATCAATTGATCAATTGAATAATCATATTCTTAGAAATTGCTTAAACTCTACAAGGATTAATTTGTAACATTAATAAAATTTTATCGTCATTACTCAAAAAAGAGCTCTGGGTGTTAGTTAACAGCCAAAAGTTTTTTTGAACGATAGGTTTGCGTGATATCTAGGTTCGTCGGCTAGCGAGCTCTCAGAATCATCCTGTTGAACGTCCTGCATTCACTTAAGTTACTTCGTTAACGTTGTCCTTGTTTCAACTTTTACATTTATTATACAAATGTGAATATTTGTATTTATTTTTATATAAAAAACATGAAAAAATTATCTAAGTATTACAAACAAATAATATTTGCATATGTTGGATTACTGATAAACAGGATATGATTTTTTTAGCCCATTTATTTAATCGATCCGGCGAAGCACCAGAAAAATAATACCAATTCTAAACTTATTAGGGATAACGTGCATTCGGGATCGAAATATTAGGTAAACAGTGTTATAGGTCTAAAGTTATTAGGTTTAGCGTGCATTCGGGCTACAAAAATTAGGAATAATGTTCTTTAGAGATATAGTGATTCGGGGTTTCAATTATTGGTATTAAGTATAACAGTCGTAAAGAAGTGAGTGCTATAACAGATAGTGAATAAATAAGTCAAAGTCCTAGAAATGCAAATTAATGTGTTGAGAAATCCATTAAGTGAGTTCTTGCGTTGGCATTGAGAGGTAAATTGTTTGTTTACCTTTAGTCTAAATTTTTTTGAAACAGACTATACAAAAACAACTCGCTCGCTAATGCAATGTGCGAATTTGCGAACCCATTTAGACATCATTGATGAGTTCATTCAACTAATAACTAGAAATACAAGACGTACACATAAAAGGCATGATTTTTTTATCGGTTCCCATCCAAAATTATTATCAGCTAATTTCTTTTAAATAGCGGACAGGTATGAATAAAAATTTTGGTAGCGTTAAAAAGCGCCACCTATCATGATATGCCGATACCATAATAATCAGTTTCAATCATACGCCACCCATCTAAAATTAGTAGCAAACTTTTATGCCTATAGTCCTCTATAATGCCACTAGGTGGCGCTATTGACAATATTAATACGAGTTTTCTTTAAAATATGCAGCAAACCTAGCAAACAAAGTTAACAACCCAAAAGTAAGCGAGCACCCATTAGGCTCAGTTTATACCACCACAGAACGGTCGCGTCGATTTCACCTCGTTGCGCGAGAAAGCGCAGGAATTCGCAGGATTGATCGAGAATTCCCGCTATTTAATCAAGATTATATTTCGTAGTCGTCGTCGTAGAGGCTAAATACTACACTACTGCATTCGACGGACTAGCTGACTACACACTTCGCGTAGATTCCACAGACAGAACCGACAGTCGCTAGGGGAATTCTCTCGAAATCGCGGTGTTTCCGCGGAAGACGTACGACTTTTTCTGGCTCTATAGCTTAATACTAAAGTATATAGTTTGGATGTTCCATTCCATTCCGCGGCGGTATAAATTGAGCTTTTCAATTACTTGAAATGACGCCACGCCTCTCATCTAAACTTAGTTGCAAATTTTAATGCTGATAGTCCTCTGTAATGCCACTAAGTATAATTAACAATATTAAAAATAGTTTTCTTAAAAATTGTAAACAAGGTGACTGCGGCGATTCTCACACTGCTGCACTGCCCCGCACTACGCTGCGGGGTGCATATCTGCATCATCATGCAGATTTCGCCATACAAACCAGTGTTTCTCTGCATATAGGTGCGTGATCTGCATCACTGCGTGTAAATCCGTTTTGAGTGTGTTACAATACAAAGAGAGGTACAGTCCGTGAGGCCGAAGCTGAATTATGAATTTGTGTGAGTGATCACCTTTTGGTGAAGTAAGAAAAGAAAAGAAGAAAAGTAGACAGATAAAAAACTTTCAACAATAACATTCTATTTGAGGTAGGTAGATAACATTAGTGGGAGAGGTATTCGAGTTTAAAAATGAAATAAAACTTAAAAAAACAATACATAATTGTTAAAAAAAAAGGCCAGCTGTGATATGTATGACTGATGAGTATGTATGTAAGCCTGAATCCAATCTTCCTTCCTATAATCTGGGATCCTTTAAGAGAGGCGTGAAGAATCATTTTTGCAGGCCGGCAAAGTGAGGATGATTGGTGTAGCAGTTTATAACTCCTGTACCAGCTATCTTCGCGTTTGGACTTTATTACCACTTAACATCAGGTGGGGTAGTCATTTGCCTACCTTAATATAAAAAAAAATCGGAACAATAAATAAATTACCGTCAATATCGCTACCATGTGTCTTTAAAATAACTATTTAAATTACAAAACAAAACTTTTATTTGGCTATTTATTTTCTTTATTTGGCTCTTTTCGTATTCTTTGCTTATTTGTGTTAGCAACCATTTTACTAATAATACGAACACAAAAACAAAATACTAAGAATTATATACGTTACAAGTGGTGAAAAGTGGAAGGTGCGCATTTTTTTTGAGTGTGTATGCAGATGACCTTTACAGCGTCACCAGGTTTGGGGTCGGCGAGATCCTAAGGGAACCACTAGGCGAGAATTGGCGAGTGCCTCTTGAGGTATTCTAGGCGGACATCTCCCCACGGGGGAGTCTCCTCTCCGTCTGAAGCCTCTAGACCACTCGAACCTGAGGGGGTCGGCTCAACTAGAGGGCGTTTCTGAGACTCAGACCTCGGCTCTACTTAGCCGTTGTCGTGGGGGGCGGGGAAAAACGCCCAGGTACGTACCTGTACCTGGTATAGCGTGTTGTGTGTAGACCGGGTCTTCGCACTCTTATCCTACGGGTGCGGTGTCTGCCTAAAGCTAAGCTAGTACAGAAGAACCCGTTTAATACGATCAAATACGATTCCTCGCATAATACGCCATTTTGCGTAAGTCCCTGCAACTTGAGACATGTTTTCATACATTTCTTAATGCTTAATACGATTCGTCATCCCATTTAAAACGCCTAAATCGCCAACACGTACCACATATATTACCTCTTGAAGCAGCATAAAATTCAATGAAAATGTGAATAACACACAAGAAGAGGCCCTTAGTGATAATGATCAAGAAGAAAATGAGTCAACTCCAATTTTGTAACACGCCCAGGCATTATCAGCAGTTAATGATTTAAGACACTATGTAATTTCTTTGAATCAAAGCGTAGACGCACTGCAAAAGTTAAATTATGTTGAAAATCTTGTAATTGCTAATGCCTCAAAATCTTTACATACATAATTCTTAAATATTGTATATTTTATACCTCAATACCTACATTCGAAATTTCTCTATCCCGCAATCCCACATAATACGCTTTCCCGCTTAAGACGCGTTTTTAGTTGAGTCCCTGTGAAATCGTCTTAAACGGGTTTTACTGTATATAGAAGGTGCGCAAGATCACACCTATTTATGTACCTGCACTCACACAAATGAAAAGTTCAGCTTAGGCCTCATGGACTGTACTTGTAAGCAACGTTAGATTACGCACTCAGGCGCTACGCAGCGTAGTGCGTGACAATGTGAGAATCGCTTGACCAACAGTAATGGCCAGTTTCAATATTCCGCCACTACTAAAAGTTTATTCTAGTTACGTTTTTTAGCAACATAACATATGAGGAGCTGGCGAACAAAACGGTAGGCATTGTCCTAATACAACGCGATAACGCGATCATCGCGCGTTTAAACGATGCGACCATCGCGTCTATCTATAATCTAAATATTAAAAATATCTAGGCAACAAAGCTCTAATAGGCCTACATTTTACTGGAGTTGGCAAAAACTGGCAAGCGAGCATCCATTATATTATACTCTTTATTGCATCATATAGTTTCAAACATATAGTCAAATACATAGTAAGCAAAGGTGGGCTTATCTCTAAAAGAAATCTATCTTATAGCCCAAGTAAATACAGATTAATTTTTCATTATGGTGTTATCTTAGTACCTTGTGTTCCCACTAGATGGTGCTCCTGAAATGTCATATCTCACGTTGGCGCATTTGCAAACAAGACCCCAATTGAATTTCAGTTTCTAGACTTAAGATTCAATATTTTTCGAATGGTACACTTACCTATTTTTGTCTCAGTCTAAATTAGTTAAATTTATCCAGAAAGATACTAAGTGTAAACCTTAATTTTACTATCGTTCTAATCTTACTTATAGCTACTGCTACTGGCATAATTTTAATCCACTTACTCCAACGCAGGCACGGTCTTCAACAAGAAATTACTGAGATTCGGAAACTCTTGATCAATAACTGTATCGAACCACAACTTGTTATCTGCATCCGTGTGGTCTATGGCTTCAAGTCGCAAGAATGTGTAAGGGGCAAACCCTATGTGATTGCGTATACTCAATTTTGAATCTACGTCCGGCATCAGAGAGTACAATTTGCCAACAAGTTGTGGATGAAGTTTGTCGAATACGATCCCGTTCTTGCGACTTCTTAATGCGTCTTCGTTGTACAGGCAGCTGATGAGGTCGCACGTATAACTCTTTAATGTGTGGATTTGCTCCATGTAAGTATCGTTTTTTATGATTTTATTTGCTGCCTTCATTTGAATGAAGATCTTCTTGTATCTAAGCAGAGAAACAATAATAATATTAGTATTAAAATCCTCTTCAACAACCAGGCATTGTTAGGCAAATGCCTACAAATCAATAATCCATAGCTTCTACTTCTTTGTACTGTCTTTCCTAAACACCGCAGTTCCGGCCCCTTAATCCACGCGGGTACTCACAGCACCATCAGCGCGGCCTCGATACAGGGTTAATTTTAAAACACCAAATATTTTTAGGGGATGAGACACCCAGTTCGCGATCACGCGATGGTCGCATCGTTTAAACGCGCGATGATCGCGTTATCGCGTTGTATTAGGACAATGCCTAAGAGGTTGTTGGTGATTTAAAATTAACCCTGTATACACGCGGGGGTGCTCAAAGCACCATCAGCGCAGCCCCTATATAAACGCGCCGGTACTCACAGCATCATCAGCGCGGCCGCCTTGTCCGCGAGTGCAGCACCACACAGCAGCCACAGCGCGAGGGGCAGGGCGCGGGGCACGCCGCCCAGTCGCGCGCCGAGCCGCTTCTCCGCCGAAGCCATGCGTTCCGCGCCAGAAGCGCAGCTGAACAGTAGCCGCATGTCCTCTAGACGCGATTAACAAAATATTCAATGAAACACGCTCAAACGCCCCTGTCGGGACGCAATAACGAACTAGCTTTTTCCATACAATTTGATGATTATGATAGTCTACGGAGCTCCCAAAAACTCGTGCTTGGGCCTCTGGTAGTCAATCGACGTTAAATTTACTCTCAAAACATCAGAGTGCGGAGAGTAATTCTAAAATATTACTCTCTAACGGTAGTGTAATAAGTGAAGTGTGCGTATCGCCATTAACTACTTCTATTTGGTGAATATTTTGTTTGTTTCTTAAGTTTTCACGCACACCGCTCATAAAATGAAACACACTTAAACGGATTCAAATGCGTCTTTTTATTACTTTTTTGACGTTTCGCATCCTTTTCAGTCTGCGTCGTCACAATTATGATTATATCGAAGGTAGCCCGACAAAAGTAAATAAAAAAATTAAATACCAGGAAAGTTCCATCAAATGAATGAATAATATAATATAGTAATGATTGCAAAAATAAAAGAATATTGCGATATTATCTTACCAGGATTAATCTGCAAGGCGAGATTGCACATGTTGTTGATGGTAGAAGCGACTGCTGGAAGTATAGCCATGTATACAGATTCATATGTTTTTATGCTCATAAAATGTCGTTGAGGTTTCGTACTTGAGTATACCTGCAAAATATGGTCAGCAAAATAATATAATAAATAATTCTAACACACACCAATTAGCCTAGCCCCAAAGTCAGCACTGAAGGATTGTGTAATGGAATACTAGGGTAACGGATAGAATACATAATATACCGATACATATATAAGTATATTTATATATAAACTAGCTGATCCAGCGAACTTCGTACCGCCCTAAAAAAATAGGGGTTGTCCAGCGGACAAAATTGTGAATCTAAACCATTCTCAGATCCCCTTGAACACACACAAAAAATTTCATCAAAATCGGTCCAGTCGTTTAAGAGAAGTTCAGTGACATACACACTCACAGAAGAATTATATATATAAAGATACATATTAAACATCCATGACTGGAGTACAAATGTTCATATTCATCATACAAACATCTGCCCCCACCCGGATTCGAACCTCTCGAGTAGGCGACACTTTAAAACCTGGCGTGCAAACCACTCGACCACGGAGGTCGTGAAGTCTCGAATTATATCAAGAATATACTCCGTGACTTTAACATCTAATTCAGACAATGATTTAGAAAATATTTTCGCAAAAAAATAACTTTTGGCGGTATAGTACGTTTTCTGTTTATAACTGTTTGCACTAAGTTTATTTACACGATTTTTAAGATACTCTGGTAACTCAAAATTCACAGTGTATAATATATATGTTACGCTCAAAGATCGAAAAGCCGAAAACGGTCAGTGAGCGGAAAAATAGCTCACAACGCGTTGTGGTCACAGTAAAACATCCACATGGCGAAATTCGTGTTATGGCTCTAATGAAAACGCGCACGACGCGTTGTGGCAATCACAGAAAGACCAAATAGCGAAATTCGTGTCGTGGTTGATATGATGTTCGATCTCAACGCGTTGTGGCAATAAAGAAAAGCCAAGACGCGTTCTGAGCATTCATTGTTTTAACCATAATATCACGACGGACAGGTTGTAACTTGTCGGTGTCGGTTCGGGTGCAAAGAAGCGTTGAAACATCAGTTTTATTCATTTTTTTATCCATCTTTATTAACATTTGTGATGTGCCCTCAACTTCATCATTAACACTTCGCTCAGCATCTATGTTATCATCTGGAAATAAGCAAGGGAATTGATAAAAAGTGCAAGTGTCGCTCCAAGAATATAAAATGCAACTCAAAATGCCACACTAATAGTTCCTGTAAAAATAAATAGCAATCAAATACTTATTTTTCACAATTATAGTAATTTCTAATATAAGTAATTGATTTAAGTACATTGTTGTTGTATATTGGTGATCAATAAACATTTATGTTTGTGTTAAATATTTTTATTACTTGAAAGAATTTTAAATTTTCATAAAAAAATTAAAATCCCTAATTATTTTAAGTGGATTATAATTAATTTACAAATTATTAATATTTTGTGTTCAGTAATTTATTAAATAATACGTTGATTTTTTTAAATATAAAGTAATCTCAATAAATAACAAATATCGTTTTATTTTAATTTATATAATTATATAACGTATTTAATAATGGCAAACATGTTATGCAGTGATTTTATAAAATAAAAATTATTTCCTAAAGGCATCTACCATAACGTTTCCATCCTAGGCCTTAAGATCCATATCGGAAAGTAGTGTGCGTCGTAATCAAATAATATTCCATACGCGTCATGGCTTTTCTTTATTGTCATAACGCGTTGAGATCGAATAGCATGTCAGCCACGACACGAATTTCACTCTTTGGTCTTTCTGTGATTGCCACAACGCGACGTGCGCGTTTTCATTAGAGCCATAACACGAATTTCGCCATGTGGCTGTTTACTGTGACCACAACGCGTTGTGAGCTATTTTTCCGACCACTGAGCGTTTTCGATCTTAGCGCGTAACATATACACAATAACAAAGTTATACCATTATACAGGTGCAGGTTTATAAAGTCAATATACAATAAAAAAAGTGCTGAAAACTCCAAAATAATACAAAGCATCACTTACCAGGTTAACATACATGTTGGTGAGGCTGTTGAGAATAGCGCATTGTTCAAGCGGCTGCGAGCGATGATATATTCGAGTAAGAGGCTCCAAAATGTATTCAATCTGATCTTTATTGTCTGCATGTATCCATTCCACGAGATCGAGTATCTAGAAACGTTAAATTTATTAGTCACAAGACCCAAACAATAAGAAAAACATTGCAAGGATTAATAAGTTTAGTGTCAGTTAAGGGTGATAATTCTTTGAGATGGATGCCAGAAATAGAAAGATTCTCTATGAGCTACAAATATCTAGTGCAAGCGATTGTCGCCCAAAGGTGAGAAAACAACATCTCTGACTGGATTTAAAGGCAAATATAGATATTGTATCTATACCAAGTTTCTAGAATGAGTTACAGGTATTTTTGCCAGACTCAATCTTTATCATTTCGTAAGTTTTGTATTTATTCTACTTGAAATTACTATCATACTCAGAATAATTACCTCAGCAAAATAATCTTTCTCGTTCCAATGTGGCAGGAACTGAGCAAGGAACCTCGAGATTATCGGCAAACCCTGCATTAGAGTACGCTGCAGTACAACCAGTCTACGTAGCAAGTCCTGTTTCTCAATGTAGCTATGTGGAGACCCATCCAAAAAGCCTAACAATAGGAAAACCATGTTTATGATTAATGATAATTTATGATTTTATTAAAATAACATATTTCATATATACTTACCATTTTAGAAATACCAAAAGAATGACATGAAGCAATGAAAAAGAATATTAAAGTATCATTGGGTTTAGTAGTGAAGCATACTCCTCCAAAGGCGGACGCAGACTTGGCCGTACAGCACGCGCCGCAATCTTCGCACTCGTATTCTTTATATAAAGTTATATGCAACCTCGCACACCCACCCGCGTCGCAGTCGCCGCAGTCCCTGAAACGACCGAACTCCACAAGCTGCTGCTGATGACGTCACCAACGCCGGCCCGCACGCAGCGGACGCTGCGGCTAGTGCGGCGCGGAAGGCGTCATTCGCATCAACTGAATGAATGAAATCAAGTGCGATGCGTGCGACGACGGGAACAACTGCAGTGACTGCGGTGCGGATAGATGTGCGAGGCCATTAACACAAATCGATGACTGCGGGGACTGCGGAGACTGCGGTGCGGCCAAGTCAGCGTTCACCTTGAGAAGGCTTTAGGAAATACTCAAGTTATTCTTCTCAGATGAGTAGAATCACTTAGTTCCTATAAACATTTATGACCCTAACAAAGGGATATAAACTTCTGATTTTGCATTATGCCATCACGCAAAGTGGCCCTGAAGACCCGTCTTAATGCGATGCTTAATAGTCTCAACATGTGATCGACGATTTAAACTGTAAAGTTAGTGCAAGTCGCGGTATTAAACGAAATGTACAGTGATCTAGGTGCGCGAGGGATGTCACTGAATTGAAACCTGCGCAGTTGCTCTCGCTGATAACTTCACAGCTGTCATAAAGATTAAATCGCACAATACAAAGCCATCGGCATAGGGGAAAATACGACTCATCATTCGCACGTCACGGTTTTTTCGCCGGAGCTAAGCCCGGCGTCAAACCGGGTCTACGTAACGTCGTTAGTCGTGTATGAGACACTATGAAGCCAATCACACGAAACCGTCGCTTTGAAACGTTTGAACCCAGTCTTAGCTCCGGCAAATGCTCTCGTGAGCATGATTCCATAGAAAGTTGCTGTTGAACATCAAATACTGGATGCAATTATCACCTCTACATAACAATATCACCAACTAAAATAAATCTATGTTGTTGGATGTTTCGATAAATCTTATTTTCGCAAAAATCCTTGGGATTTTTTCGAAAACGCGGATATTTAGTCAATGGCATGGCTCAATAATTATAATCCGCGTTTTTGCATAATCCCTAGGATTTTCGTAAAAAAATGAATTTATCAAATCATTCTACGACATATACATCAAGAACCTAACGGTAGTGAAGACCATATCAAAGGTCCTTGATTTTATTTCCACTTGAATCTTGCTGGCTGTGGTTTCTAATTTCTTTTGTGCTAGCTGCTACCCCATGTAACGTAAAATACAAACTCTTTTATACAAGGTGCAACATATTATGCTATTAATATTTTGTTGTGTATTAACATTAAAAATTAAATTAAAACAAAATAAATATTTAAGTGGGGTATAACATACAAAAGTCATGACTTTTTGAAGTTTTTTGTATGGCACCCTTCGTGCGCGAGTCCGACTCGCACTTGGCCGGTTTTTTAATATAAGTATATATATTTTAATTAACTCTGTAGTATGAATTGTACCTAATTACCTTCTTATTGATTCTAGAATCAATACATATCTTTATCTTTTTCTATTATTGTACAAGCATAGATACTTACAGCTAGTAAGAAGTTGATGGAGGACATGCGAGAGAAAAGCGTGATCGACATCAGAAGCAGCAGCCAGAAGCGTCAGTCCAGTCTCGTTGCACAACATTGCTCGCAGTCGAGCCGGGCGGGACATTGTGTGCTGCAAACTATATTGAAGAAGGGAGACCGGGCTGCAAGTACAGAATACTATTAAGAGTAGAGACCTTTTGAAGAAATTGTCAAAAAGAGAGTCAATTGAGTTCTACTAGTCACAGAAATGCTCGCGAGACATTGTGTGACACAAACTATATTGGAGAAGAGAGACTGGGCTATAAGAACAGAATAATAGTACGATTAGATAATCTCAAAGATATTTTGTAAAAATAGGAACAAAGGACAGTAGTCTCAATACAAATAAATCATTTTTGTTTATGAACATATTTTGCATAGTTCTATTTCATCATGCAATCCCTATGCAAATATAAAGGTACTAGCGGCCACCCGCGACTTCGTACGCGTGGAGTTAGTTAGAAATAAAGGTTCACTGCTCGTTCCTCGTAGGTGATAGCGTGATATGGTGCCTATATGTTAACCCGACTTCTTAATCATATTCGTGCCAAATTTGAAGTAAATCCATGCAGTAGTTTTTGAGTTTATCCCGGACATACATACAGACAAATAAACAATAATTCTAAAAACTATATTTTTGGTATCGATTGAAGCCACACCCCAAGTATTCTTTAAAAAAAAAATTAATATACAGTTTGACTTTTCTACCATTTCATTATATGTATAGATAGGGTGTAGGTAGGTATAATATAAGGTACGGATTAGAGGCAGCCTCGCCTGAGGCACGCACGGCTCGCCCTATTGCCTCAAGTGCGCACGCGCCTCAGCCCGAGTTTTTCAAGTCTATGTATCGAAAGGTATTTTTTTTTAGCTGATTTATTATTTTTGTTCTCATATTTTTATGTCATCAGGTACAAAATGGCGGACAAGACAGGCAGAAGTAAATCTGTAGCTGTAAGGACGGTTTGGCGCCATTTTGAAGTCGCGCCTCCGTGGCTTGCCCCGAGGCACATTGCCTCTGCCTGCTGCCTCACATTTTTTTAACTATTTACGGAGGCAGCCTCCACACGAGCCGTGCGTGGTGAGGCTGCTCACCCCGAGTCTGCCTCTATTCCATATGTTGATTGCGACGATTGATGTGTGTGCCGCAGTTGCCTGAATATGGAATGAGTTTGATTTTATAAATTAGTAACTTACTCAGAGAAATCAAGGTAAGTTTTTGTTGGTTCTTTATCAGCATATTGTTTTGAACCAACATTCAAAAACTCCATATTGGGTATAAGAGGTTCAATTTTCTTGTTTGTTCTCTCCTGCAATATCAGAAATTTTGTAAAAACACAGTAATATATTTAAATCACAAAATTTAACTAAAAACTTACTGAATTCACTGGGTTTAACCACATCAAGTGGTTTTTGTCTGTGATTGATCTGTGTCTACGTTCCTGAAAAGTTAAATTAAAAAGCTAAAACTTATTATTCACTAACATTTAAAAAAAAGTTACACATAATTTTAAACTGACCTGGATTGCCTTAAATCTAGCTACCAGTGTTGTTTTAATCTTCTTGAAAGCAGTATGAATAGATATTGCAGGTACTTCTTCTGGTACACACTCCGGTCTATAAGACTTGAATAAGCCCAACAACACTTGCAATTGACGATACAAATTCTATAAGATACAATCAAATCTTTAACATTAATTCAATCTATATGTATCTCAATCTTAAAATTATCTATATTAAAAATTTACCTTTTTAGCTTCTCTTTTCTTTGCATAGTCAAATAATTCAAGCACTCTCCTGCGAGTCACATCCTTTGGTTTGGTCAATGTGTATACCAGCTTCATAGCATGAACAGTCTGGGATGAAAATTGAGACAATCAAATAATTGTAGATTAATAAACTCAGCTATTATTTGTAAACTTATAGTCAGGGAACGTAGGCCCATAGATAGATACCTTAAAGTCTAACATATATACAGATTAAAACTATCTTATGTCTAAAAACGTAAAAACTAATAAATAAACTAAATAATAATAATAATTGTAAACTTATAAACAATACATTTAAGATTCCAAAGGATTCTTCATAGAATGATAGAAGAGAGAAAACATTTCCTGATGTAGAATATTTATTCTCATTAATGACTGTACACTTCACAACCCTTTTTATTTTAAGGGTGTGAAGTGTACAGGGAAATTCTAATAAGGCGATCAAGAACAACAATTTATCACATCTATCAAATTTAGAACAGTTATTAATTAAGCAGAATGAAAGTTTGACAATATCCTTCAACAAATGAGTACTATTGATGATGCTCATAACACACCTGTTAGACAAACTAATAAGATGAATTCAATAGGAATGGCAACCTGGAACATAAATGGTCTGAATCCAAACAAATATGAAACAATTGCTATTGACTCAACAAAATCTTGACGTGCTGCGTATATCTGAAGCTCACTGAACCTCTGCGACGAACCTGAAGTTCAGAAACTATAATTGTTATGTCACCCTGCATCCAGATGTCACTGGTCATTGGTTCAGCAATCATAATAAGAAAATCGCTCAAGTATCCCCTAATGCCTGAATATAGAACTTCCCATATCCAGGCTACAACTATAGCTATAGAAAATAATATCCCCCTGAATATTACTTCGGTGTATAGTCCCCCTAAGTACACATTGTAATGTATTTTACCTTTCATCTTCTACCACAACCTCCCTTACTCTCTTACCTTCTTTTATTTCCAGCTCATTAGGTTGTCAGAAAGAAATCGCTCTAGGGCTAAGACCGCACTTTAAGCAAAATTATAATGTCTACTTTGTTTTCTTTTCTGCTTGTTTTGTTACAAAATAACCCAAGTAATGTATGCAGAATTTTTCAAGATTCTTGGTAACTGATTCATAGCAGGGGGAGACTGGAACTCCAAATACACACACGGGGGATCGAGATTAATTACAACCAAAGGTAGAAAGCTGAAGCTAAGTGTGGATGCCAACATGTTAGAATCGACGTCCACGGGTGAACCTACATACTGGCCATCAGATCCATATAAGATGCCAGACGTACTGGACTTCTTCATCACGAAAGGAATCTACTCCCTTTATCGGAAGTGCGAATCTTGCTATGGCAGCTCATCAGATCATACGCCAGTTTTGCAAAAAAATAAGAATATACTAGCAAACCAGTGAACCAAATGTTCACCAAAACCTGTTTTAAAAAAATGTATTTAATTAATTGAGAACTTCGGAGATTTTGTGCGGTTTCGTTTGAAATTATTAAGTTAAAAAAAAATAACCTTTAAATAGTTAATTAAAATTGTGATAATTACAAAATAGAAATCACGTGATTTCTCGAAAACCGGAAGTGCTACGTTACTCAAATCCGGTTTGTAGTCTTATCAGACTATTCTTAACTTATAACTTAAATATTCTCTTTATCTATCTCTTACGGTTTGGCCGCTGAAACAGCAGCACAGACAGACGGACGGACGGACTTGTCTAATAGATAAGAGATAATAAATTCACTGACTGGAATTCTCTCAAAGAATTCACAGATAAAAACTTCAAACCTAAAGTTGCCCTAAAACTCCGGATGATATTGAGACTGAGACCAAGTATATTACCAACCTCATTCGGGAAGCCTATTGGAGAAGAACACCTCCACTGAATCAAATTCATCATTTGCAAAATATCTAGCAAAACTTTTCAGCTTGAGCACAAGTGACACAGACACAGATAAAGAAGTAGAAAATATTCTTAACCAAACCCTGCAAGTATCACTACAGCCTACGCCAGTCACGGTTATGGAAGTTTAGAAAATGATAAGGCAACTTTAGGACACAATGGCACCTCGATATGACCTCATTACAAAAGAAATTCTTGTTAAACTTCCAAGAAAAGGAATTGCATTTTAAAAATGCTGTATAATGGAATACTGAGAGTCCAACATTTTCCCAACCTTTGAAAGGTGACCCAAATTCTTATGATACACAAGACAGGGCAGCCAACTGATCAAGTCAAATCTTACAGACCGATCAGCCTGCCGTTGCCTGTCTTGCAAAAGGTTCTCGAAATATTGCTCCTACACAGAATAATGCCAAAGTTAGAAAATAGCAAAGCAATACCAGACCATCAATTCAGCTTTAGAAAAAAGCACTCTACTATTGAAGAAGTCCATTGAGTAGTAGAAAAATAAGAAAAACCCTAGAGGAAAAAGATACATTGCTCATTGGCATTTTTGGATATTGAACAGGCTTTCAACAGATTATGGCATGCGGGCCTTCTTTGGAAGCTAAAAACAAGTCTTCCTCATAGTCAATTTTGCACTTTTAAATTCCTATCTCAGAGATCGAATCTACCATGTAAAAGAGTCAGATTCGACATCTTTATTCTTCGAGATAAGAGCAGGTGTACTCCAGGGTCCAGTTCCGGGGCCTGTCTTTTATACGATTTACACATCAGAGCTACCTCAAGTAGATGGAATCATGGCTGCTACGTATGCAGATGATACAGCGATATGGGCTAGCAGTGGCAACAACGATAGTAAATATCCGAGATACAACAAATTAACAACATCGCGGCCGAAACCTGTCGAAAAGGTTGCAATTCACGTTTAATGCATACTGGGCAAGACTTAATTAAAACGTCAGCGTCAAAGAGTTATGACAGTTAGAAATGCAAGCTCGTAAAATTTTACGACTTATTGCTATATGCGGAATAGAGGTGGGTCGTCGACGTATTTTTCATCGACGAAACTAAACCGTCCACTACCGTCCATCGACTAAACGATCAACTAGTTGAATTCTTCAACTAGTTGACGTGATAACGGCAAGCGTTCAGGGGTTCATATCAACTACGCGGTGACTGGTCTATGGACGCGACGCAACGACGACGACGGGGTCTTTATTTAGTATTCACTTTACATTATAGTCATTTAAATGTTTACAAAATAAATTACAAATTAAACTCATAAAATAATCATTCAATTCAAACGAACTTTACACTAAATTTTCACGTGCCCCTGCCAGGTCAAGGGCCTTGACCTCGCGACACACTAATTTCAAGTTTCAATAAACAAAACTGCAACTACTTGAGGAAAACAATTATTATAAACCCGTTCATCCTGCACTGCATTGTTTAGCCAGATCCATCGACGTACTCTTTCACGCAATATCAGAATACTCTTGCCTTTTCACTCTAACAACTCTAGTTTAAAAAACGAACAAATATCAACTTCCACTCCATATGCTTACGTTTCAAATTGCTTTATTTCAACGAATGAACGAACGTATGACTTGTAACCGGTAAACCAGATACGTTAACGCGTCGACGTCGCGTTGTCAGTTGATATGAACGCTGTGGACTCTCAGTTTAGCCCTCTATGAATTCAACTAGTTAACGAATAAACTGTAGACCGTCGAAGCGTCGATTGAACGTAGACCGTCTATTTAAACCGTTCGTTAATTCAACGCCCATCGTTAATGCGGAATAATATAGACCTTATTTCTTTAACTGTATGCGCTATTCTGAATGCGCTGCTAGCAATATATGTAGCAGGTATGGTCTGCAAGGTAAACAGACGGCTATATAACCAACCAACCATTTCTATTAAATCAGTTTATAGTATGTTATAGAACAAAATTTGCTTTAAATGCGGTAAATTAACAAACATTGATTCTAATCAATCAAAGGTATCTATACCTGGCGACAAAATGACACTTTATGTACTATAAGTAATTATTTTCGCATTTTTTCAGTGCTCTGTGGCATCTTGACTTTTCTATGGTCCGCACGTGACTGTCAAGAAGTACTTGAGTAGACTTCAAGCACTTCCTGATTGGGATGCATTTTGAGCGCACTTGGTGTATCTAGGGTATTTAATATCATTAAGTAGCAATTCTCACGAAGCGTCTGTACACCTCCAAAAGGGACTAGATAACATAAAAAATGGCTCCAAAAATTGAAAATTAAAGCCAATGCAACAAAATCAGTGCATGTTATCTTTACTCTTCAACGGGAAAACTGTCCACCAGTTAAGATAGAGAATACTACATTGCCACAACAAGATAAGAGTAAGGTATTGAGGACTGCACCTGGACTGTCAATCAACCTGGAACCAACACTTAAAAAAAAAAAGAGAGAAGCAGAACCTTAAACATAAGAACATCTACTGGATGTTAGGCCGGAACACCACCCGGGGGCGTTCCAGTGAAGTGGTGCACACAGAGGTGCGCCGATCCTTAACGCTCCCACATGGGCGTAGGAGGGTACCAGTGGGTTTTAGTGGGTAGGACCAGCGCACAGTGTGGTATTTGGCCTCAAAACCTGGCCAAAAATGGAAATTTAAATTTTCTGTTAACTATTGAGTATTGTACACCATCAAAAAGCTAATGAGTTACTGCATCCAATAGCGAAACAGGTAAAGCTCTAGCTTAACTCTGCGTTTCGTGTGATCAGTCGGAAGTTACAGCTCGCTTACGCCTGACGTGTGATTTTTCGATACGCTCTTATTTCATTGTTCTCAAAGCTCTTATTTGAGTTCAGTGAAGTGGTTTAGTGGTGGTTTTTATCATGGATGATTTTGTTCCTGGTATGTACTTTCTGTTAAATATATATTTTTTGACAAATAACTTGTAGATTTTTGTTTTTTTAGTCGACAACATAGGTATAATTGACTGTTGTATAAATGATTATTTTAATACTTTAAGAGGGGTTTTTTTATATTTCTGTACATTTCTGGGCATTGAAATTTATTGTATAATGTCGGGTACTTACTTGGAAGACTACTTATAAAAAAGATAGCCGCACGAAACCGCCCCTTTTTTTTAAATATTTTTTTTTGTAAAGACCTAAATATTTGGTACAAACATCTTCTTAAATGTTATTCATTTTTATTGTTATCAGGACCTTCTGGCGTGAAGACGATGACTCGAAATGAGTTATATGACATCGTCCAACGTTCAAATGAACACAGTTTTGACGGAAAGTAAATGTTTATGGAGAAAGAATTATTGAAAGGTTATTCTCAAGATGATCCGAGAATAGCTGATATAAAGAACAGAATCTCAATAATTGAACATGATTTTAAACAAAAATGGTTGGCTGCGCACAAAATCAAAAAGAGGTTCGTTTCGTTAAGGAGACAACTGACGTCACAAACAAGGAAATAAACTACATAAAGTCACAAATATCAGCACTTTCTAGCACAAATATAAATGACACCTCTATTAAACACAGAATGTTATTTACGATGGTGGATGGCAAGGTATGCAATGCAGCAACGCATACGAAATCAACAATGAGGTGCGACATATGCGATGCCACTGTATCGGAATTCATGGACTTGTCAAAAGAGAGACCTTGCAAAAAAGAAAACTTCAGCTTTGGGCTGTCTTTGTTACACGCCAGAATTAGATTTTTTGAATCTGTTTTGCACGTAGCATATAGGTTAACCGTGAATAAATGGAATGTCCGCCTTTCTACCGAAGAAAACCAAATAGTGGAAGACAGAAAAAAAGACATCCAAAACAAATTTAAAGAAAAACTAGTACTTTTAGAGGACATGCCAAAAGCAAATTTCGGAAATACCAATGACGGAAATACAAGTCGAAGGTTTTTTGAAGAATACGAAATTTCAGCAGAAATAACAGGAATTAATAGAGACCTAATTTATAGACTTAAAGTCATTCTTGATTCTCTATGATCTGGATTAAAAATAAATATTGAAAGATTCAAAAAATACTGCCAGGTAATAGCTGAACTATATGTGTCACTGTATAGATTTTACTCTATGTCCCTTACTTTACACAAAGTACTTCGACATGGAGCGGCTGTCATTAAAGAGTCCATACTACCAATTGGTCAGCTATTCGAGGAAGCAGCGGAAGCTCGCAACAAAAACATCCGATCCTATAGATTAAACTTCTCGAGAAAATTTTCCCAAATTGAGTGTAATATGGACATCTTAAACCGACTTTTATTGACCTCTGATCCATTAATTTAGTTTAAACAAAATTATAGACAATAAATATTATTATTATTAGTTTGCGAAAGCGATATAACCAATATTAACATTAATGACGATTGTAGTAATGACTAATAAATGGGACTCTAACAAAATAAATTATTGTTTTATTATACTTTAGTGTTAAATCACCTAGAAACGACTTATCTAATTATTAGAAACAAAAAAATATTTTTGGCCAAGTTTTGAGGGTAAATACCACACTGTGCAGCGTTGTTCCGCGCCGGGCAGTCCCACACACGCCGCGCGCCCAGCCAGCGCGCGGTACGGTCTGTAAATGGATTTCCCTTCAATAAAAAAATAAAAAAGACCGGAACACCAAATTAGCTCTTATTATACAAGGCAATACTAAAACCATCCTGGACATATAGCATTGAAAGGAGAATGGACAAATCCGTCTAGATTGCGCTAGACTTATTTATATATCAAAAATCTTCTCCTGAATTATCATTTCATATGTGTGATTATTATTTAAATATTAAGCGGATTTTTGAAATAATAAATAAATGGCTATTAAACTGAATAAAATTCAACCACAGAATAGACCATATAACCATAGACAAAAGTTGTATCACCTAGGCGATACTATCGTAGGAAAAAAAAACGATTTTATTTCTTTATTTAAATATTCTTAAGAAAAAAAAACGAGTGTGCTTATGACCTCACGACTAAAGTGAAACTTCTTTCATATTCTAGCTGTAAGAGAAAGAGAGAAAGAAAATGCGCGCACTGCCCTCTCTTGCTCCTACACTGTGATACAGACAACTGCACTGTGCTTAGATATACGGAATGTATTTGGCTATGAGAGGAAGAGAGAAAGAAAATGTGCACGCGCACTGCTTTCTCTTGCTTATATCCCACACTCAACTCCCGTTCGCCTTCCCGATCACACTTTTCGTAACGCTTACGTTCTCCAGCTTACTCCCCAAGGCCAGCGTGCGTAAAGAAGTTTCACTTCAAAAAGAATAAATAAAATGTTTTATTATAATGGAGGATAGAAAAATTGTAAATAGTCTGAAACATTTTTACCAACCACCGTAAATGACTACGAAATAATGATTATGCGTTATTTCGTAGTCATTTTTTACTTTGTGGTCTTCGATGCGAGTTGTTTGATTCTTGTATAGATGGATGGATGGAGGCGATTTGGGGAAAGTACCCCAAATCGCCTACTCAGAGGGCCTGGGTTCAAATTCCGGTGAGGCAAATGTTTGTATAATGGATACGAGCATTTTTACCAACATAATATTATGATAAATAACATTAAATTCATAAAGTTATCACCTGTAACACCTGTGTTGTGACTATCTCACTGTACCAGGGATTGCATCTAAAAAACTAAAAGGAACTTAATGGGCTGCGCAAAAGAGGATTTTTTGTCTGCAAACTATTTTGTTCATCAAAATAGATCGCATACAAATACTTTTGTATGTACTCTTAGATTAAAAAGGGATTTTTTTTTTGTTTAAGTTATCAGTTATGTTATATATAATTACTTAATCAAATTAACTCATGGTTTGAACATTTGAAGCATTTACATTGAAAAATAAAACATTTATAAATCGATTGTGTAGGATATCGATTCCTATGGATTCGAACCGAAATACACCATAAGCAATTGAACGTAGCTGTCAACTTCTATTTCCAGTATTAGTTGTGTTTGTTTGTTCCGAGTGACTTCTTACATACAGTTTTCACTTTTGAATTGTATTTTGTGTTTTCAGTGGTCTATTGTGGCAGAATAGTTCTAATGTTGAGTTAAGTAATCCTCTGTAAATAACTGTTTTTTGGGAAAGAGAGAATAAAGGACAATCCTTTAGTGATTCTGTGACCGAGGTATTTGGACTCTTAGTTTATTGCAATTATTTTTGTTTACAATGGCATCTGGTGTTACTCAAGAAAATGTTGGCAGTGTGTATGTATAATGTCGATTTGGATAAGTGTGTTATCAATAAATAATTAAGTATCAGTATTAAAATATTTTGTATCGAAAGTGACTTGAAAACCACCCAAATACACTTGTGATGAAACTGACTACTCATGACTGTAAAACTTGTGAAGTGAAGAAACATAATACCATAAGGACGTTCCAAAAATAATTAAGAGAAGACATCTTTGGAGGATATGCTGGACGTGCCAGCAACCTTCATGATATCTACTTATAGTAAAGTACTGACTGCAGATAAGCCCATAAGAAAATGAAAATAATGACTAATTTGCCCGAGCATTTCATTGGTCTGAGCCTGATTTATTGGTGATTCAATCAACCTTAGTCAATATTTAAATTTTACTTAAATATCAACTCATTCAAATTAACCATTGATTAATTAAATATATATTTTACACCCACATCCCTCTCTCTCTCTCTCTCTCTCTCATACATCTTCCCAGAATAATATTATTTCTACATAATTTTATAAGTTCACACCTGTTCAACAGAAGGGAAGGCGGAGACAAATTTATCTCCTCTTGATTAAGTTATGTCATACCTCTTTTGTTTCCAAAATATTAAAGAAAAACATTTTATTTATTAATATGCGATATAAGTAATTTTATATGAGAAAAGCTGTGAAACTTAATATACTTACAAGAACTTCAATAGTTAACATCACATAAAATAATTCATAGCCAGAATCCAGTGCAGCCATGTCAATACATTCACAGTCCATAGCAGCTGAAAAATTAATAATAATTAATAAGATTCTCAAAATATGACTTTTATTTTTAGAAATTATATATTGTTTATAGGTGTAAGACATACCGGTAAGCCAGTCAAGTAAGAAACTAATTCTAGAAAAGCTTGTTTGGTCCTCATAGTTGGCAAGAATCCAACGAAATGAGTACTCAACGGTTTTCTCTTCAATTTTCTCTGGAGGGATCATACATGTACCCAAAGTAGTCCATTTGGTTATAGCTGAAATATATTAGATACAAATTGCTTAGCCAACCATGCCAAACGAGAAATATATAGTAGCATTAGCAGGTATACTGGTGTAAATACGGTTCATAACTTAATCTTAATCTCACTGACGGTTAAAGTACACTTACGTATTGATAAATTTAACCAAACTTTGAATAAAGTGTGGAAATCATCATATTCTAGACCCGTTCTCTCTACAGCATTGGCTAATTCGTCTACTTTGAACTGAAATAAATCTTTATCAAAACCCTTTTTTAAAGATTTAATGTAATCGATTATTTCGTCAACGTCTGCCATGGTTTCACGCAAATTATTCCTTCTAGTTTTTTATTTATTTTGATGAATATCACAGATCGTAAAAAAACTAATGAAAGCAAATTCAAACAGAAAATACGTTGTCGTTGTTATTGTCAAATCGAAACATCATTTGGCTCATGCTCATAGAGAATGGTATATATACCAAAATTAGGCTGTTCATATTTGCTATTTGTATAATAGACAACAGTCTGACTCTATCATGCTTTAAGGAAAGAAAAGGACAGACTAATGTCATGTTTACAATTAGCAAACACGAACGTACAGTGAAGTGCCGGCATTAGGCGTGTCTATAGATGTAAAACAACAGATTTAAAACATTTTAAACAAAATGTTGCTGTTTTAAACCCCAAATAAATCGTTTTAAACGGTTGTAAACTGGCATACAAAAATAAAAGAACTATGGTTTTTACACTTCAACAATGATTTTTTTTTTACCAACACAGATTTTAACTGATAAGAGTTTTTATAACTTAGGTAGATAAAACCTACACTTGGTCGCGGATGGACCAACTAGAACTAAACTCGCTAAGTATATCAATATGTAAGTATATTACACATTTAAAAAATCTTTATACAGTTTATAGGTACTCCGTTATATTCCTACCTCGTTAAAATCAAGACAATGTAGTTATAATTAAAAAAAACATAGTCATCAACACCAACCGTTTTAAATCGAAAAAAATGGTTTATTTCGGTTTTAAACGGTTTTTTTCGTTTTAAACGGATTGGTTTAATTGGTTTTAAACGGGCCTTACATCTATAGTCGTGTCATGTCACAGAATACAGAGAAAATCTCTGATAAACTGATCGCACATATTCGTATTTCCGCACCGTACGCGCCGCGCCGCACTCGCCGCATTTCAATTTAGCCCCGTTGAAATGCTCAAAGTCTGCTTTGTCAAAGTAGCTTTGATCAAAGTGCACTTAGATACCGGTTGACACGTATATAGTTCACTCGGATCAGTTTGATTATTTTTACCGTCTTTCCATCCTTGTACTTACAGACTCTGAGCATTACGTCCCAAAAAACTACTTCTGACTCGTATAATTCTACGAATTTGAGAGTGTCCCTCTCACTATGATTTCTTTTATTGCATGATACCATAGTTTTTGGGGTTCCGCATCTAAAAGGTATTACTAAAATTCCACTGTCCGTCTGTCAACAGGCTAGCTCATGAATCGTGAAAGCTAGTCAAATGAAATTTTCAGAGATGACGTATTTCTGTTGCCGCTTTAATAAGAAATATTAAAAACAGAAAAATAAATAAATACCTACCTATATAATGGACTCCCATACAAACATCTGATATTTTAGCCATTTTTTAATCTATATAAATTATAAATAACGGCATAATTGACGATAGACGCTTAAAATATTCACAAAATATTAGGTTGTATATTCGCTTTAAAAATGAACAACTAAATTAATATAAATATTTAAGGAGAGCTCCCATACAGACGTGTTTATTTGCTGTTGGTTGCTCGATATTAAAATACAGTGTCTAATGTTGTGTAGATAATAGTATGGAACCCCTCGTGAGTGAGTCCGACTCACACTTCGCCAGTTTTACATAAGACGCCATTTTGTTATGTTCTTTCACATCAAAAGTTGTCTTGAAAAGTTGAACGTGGTTCAATCAACTCCATTTTGATTGGACTACAACATCAAAGTGCGCTTTGAATGCTTTGATTTTTGTTTTATACGATCAAAGTAGGGTCAAAGTCCGCTCTAAACTGGCACTAACATTCATAAAGATCCTTGTTGCACTGTTATATCTTCATCTTATCCCTATTTCAAAGAGATTGTGAAATAAAAACTTAATATGGTTTTATGAAACTACGATGCAAGTTAAACTTTTTTAATAAAAAAATGTCCTCCCGAGGAAGGCGGGTTTCGAACCCGGGCCGCCTGCGTAGGAGGCGAGCTTTCTTCCACTGAACCACCGACACTTGTTGATCTGCTACATGCTGATCAACAAGTGGTGGCTAAAAAAAATTGTGGCGATGTAATAAAGGTTTCATTATAAAAATCTTACTAATATTTGACACAAAATTATTCGCCTCCACCATTCGCCTAGCAATGAGTGGTTGATGTCACTCGTTGTAGCTGAGCTATTCACGAATACAGAAATTACCTATAATGTCGAATGAAAATCAATAGTAATTGAGCGTTTTTTTTTTTATTCCTTTATAGCCTGCACGGTTTGTGCATCAGCCACATACAAATGTAAAGGTAGGGAAACAGGATAAAAAAAAAGGAACGGAATTTTTAGGAAAGGATCAGGTAAGTATTTACATATTTACAGTTTAATATTATGTTTAAGGATAAAATTTGAAATACATAAATAAATATCATATTTCATAGAATATAGCAAAGTATTTATAAAAGTTGGGAGAGGAGTACGAAGGGATGTTAAGGAGTCAATAAAAGAGGAACAGTCATTTAAGGAGCAGACAAAAAAAATATGGTTTAAATCGCCAATATCAGCGCCGCAATTACACTTACTGCTATTAACTATTCCTAATCTGGCCAGATGAGAAGGAGTGCAAACATGACCCAGTCTCATCCGAGTTATGATAGAGGTCGTTATCTTGCTAAATCTAAAATTATAAAACCAAGGCTTTGTAGGAATGAAAGTTTGAATTTGTGAGTAATGCTTTCCTTTATTTTTACTAGAAACAGACCATACTTGTTCCCAAGATTCACGTAGATCCGAATTAGGAAGACCTAAAAGATCATTAATAAAGTTTTTATATGGAAAAATATCTCCACAATCCACAGCATCATTGGCAAGTTTATCAGCAATTTCATTGCCAGAAATACCTATATGACTAGGTATCCAGGCAAAAAATACATCGAAACCTTTTAAATGGCATTGCCAGAGCAATTTTCTACAATCTATGATTACAGGATGATTGGTATATTTAAAAGGAAATTTTTGAAGTGCTTGAAGCGCTCTTTTAGAATCAGAAAATATAACAGATTTATGCAATTTCATCAGATAAATATATTCTAAATCTTTTAATAATCCGTAGCATTCACCAGTAAAAACAGAAGTTTCAGGTGGTAGTTTAATTTTTTGGACAATTTTTGATTGGAAGAGTTTTTAGATGCATCGCTATAAATGTAATGTCGATCTGGCCAGTCTCTATCTATGATTATATTAAAATCAACATTTGCAGAATAAATGGATCGAGATATATCTAAAGTAAAATATATTTTAGGAACAAGAGTTAAAGCTTCATAGTCTGCAGAAAAAATAGACAGACGTTGAGAGATGTGAGCACGGAACAAAAACTTGTCAGAAAGATATTGACGACGGAGTCGCAGAGGAGGGTCGACACATTCCACTTGTAAAGCATTGATAGGGCTAGATTTCATTGCTCTGGCTATTAAGCGAAGAGCTTTAGACTGTATCCCATCAAGCTTTTTAAGCCCAACAGCATTACATGGCTCAAGAAAGTAACTTCCATAGTCTAAAATACTTCGTAAAAGAGCATTGTAAATATGTTTCAAAGTATATGGGTGTCCACCCCACCAAACACCTGTTAAGCATCTCATGATATTTAAAACTCGTTCACATCGAGCTGTAACATAATAGAAGTGAGATAAACCTGATAATTTAGCGTCTAAATTAACTCCTAAAAATTTTGTTCCGTTTTGTACCGGGATAGGTTTATTGTCGAAACATACGGAAACAGAAGGGGGCAGACGCATTCTAGAAAATAACACTACGCAGCTTTTTGAAACGGAGAGATTAAGAGCGTTAAAATCTAGCCAAATTTTAAGTTTGGACAGTGCTCTACTTAAAATATTACTTATTTCTAAAATTGATCGTCCCGAAACATATACTACTAAATCATCTGCATATTGTAATACCGACACATTGTTACAATCACTATTTGAATTTTGAATGGCTTTATCTAGGTCATGTGTATAAATATTATACAAGATAGGGCTTATGACACATCCCTGAGGTAAACCCTTCCATAAAGTTCTAGATTTATACTTTGAATCGCCCGTATCAATTGTAATCACTCTACCAGACAAGTAATTAATTATAAAATTAGTGATTAAAAGAGGAACTTTTAGGTTTAGGAGTTTCAGCTTTAATACGTACAGATCGACGTTATCATAGGCAGAATTTATATCTAAGAAAGCTGCAAGTGTTGATTCATTGTTATTAAATGACAATCTTATATCGGTAGTAAATATACCAAGACTATCCATAGTACTTCGTCCTTTTCTAAAACCGTATTGGTTCGGAGCAAGAAATTCATGACTTTCAACAAACCATTCTAATCGATTTTTTATTAGATGTTCGGTTAATTTAGCAAGAACGGATGAGAGGGCTATTGGTCTGTATGAATTAGCATCAGAAGGAGGCTTATTTGGTTTTAAAATAGGAATTACTTCTTGTAATTTCCACGAAGTAGGAATATTGCCAGAAATCATAATGGAATTAATTAATTCTAAAAAATAAAGAAGGCTAGAATCGTTTAAATGAGAGAGAAAAGAATATGGTATACCGTCAGTTCCTGGAGCAGAATCTTTAACGTAGGCTAAAACACCTTTCAGCTCTGCAAGGCTAAAAGGAGAATCGAGATTTGTTAAGCTGTTGGTATTAATTATTGGGGAAAGAGTACGAGAGATAAAGAAATTGGGAACTAGCGGAGGAGCAAATTTATCTAAAAAGTTGTCTAGTACATCTTTTGGAAGAAGCTGCGCCAGGTTCCTTAAAAGCTGATCGAAAACGCCGTATATTTTGCCAAACACACACACAGAAGGTGAGACGTCAGGTGATAAAGATACACAAAAAGTCTTCCACCATTCCCATTTCTTTTTTTTTAAGAAGCTTCTTTGTTTCGGTCATTACACGAGATAATAACTCAAAGTTTTCGTTCGTAGAATTTTCTCTATATATTTTTTCTGTAAGCTTCCTCTTTTTAACTGCTAAAGAACACTCGTTATCCCACCA